AAAAAATCCCTTTGTTTTTCACATTTTTAGTGTTTTGTTATAAGGTTCTTGTTTGTTTGTTCTCTGACTCAAAACAAATGAAAAACGAAAACAAACAAATAAAAAAAAAAGACTTACCACAGATAAAGACCCTAGATGCTGACACAGTGATTCAATCTGTCACTCTCAAAGTGAAACAAGTCACTGGAGCTGAGCAGGAAACGAAGACTGAGAAATGATTAGCGAGTCACTGGAAACCAGACACTCGAGTCTGATCAGTTTCTAACGTTCATTGCTGCACATTCCTTGGTGTTTATCAGATAAACACTGAGCATGACGAACACAGGGACGGTTGACCTTGATTGCATATTGCATCAGTTCAATGCCGAATCCGATCACATGTAAACCAAAGAGGAGCTCAAAATGGTTTCAGGAGTTTCTTATTACCTTCAACAAGAAGCTCATGTTTTGGCAACATTTGCATTTCATTCTGTCTGTAAACACAACAGCTCTAAAAGTTTGAATGTATTCTGATAAAACTCTGTAGGGTGTCGAGCAGGATCGTGTTAAAAAAAATCCAATAAAATCTGGCTTACATCCATCGAGGTCTTCACGATAAACTTTATGAGTTGTTGATTGAAAATTGACAAAAAAACTTAAAAGTCAAAAATTATGATTCTTAAAAGTGTGCTGTGTAATTTCAACATTTATAAAGTACAAAGACTTACAATATCATATCACATTTGACCTCTGACCTCTCCCCAAGTTCAACGGATCAACCTAAAAGTCAGAGTAATGATAATGTTATATAGAGCCATTTATTTAAAACTATGTCATTGTTGGTACTGACAGCATGTAGCGAATGATACATGGGGATTGTAAATATCAGGTTACTCTGGACCTCTGATCTCTTCTTTTGGGTCAAATATGGTCAAACTTTCATAAAATGTATTTCATCTATGCTTCAAATTCTGTTGCCTTTATTCTGTTGCCATGCTTCACGACTCTGTTTTGTTCATTACAGTAATAGGTTACAACCATTTAAATACAAAACAGTACATGTACAATGTTCCTGAATGTTTTTAATTAATCTTTTTCTTATCAAAAAGTTTTTTTCACTTCATGTTTATCATGTATGTTATATGAATTTGACTAAAAATCAAATGTATGCTACACATGTAGTCACATAAATAGGAAAAAAATATATTTAAAATGATGTAAAGTATATAAGATTAGTTTTAAAAGACTCTTTGACATGTTTGTATGCTGGAAGCAGAGGCTCCCACTCATGTGTGGAACAAGTCAGCGTCAGTGTTTTTAATGTTTTGACACAAAATCAAATGGTGACCTCTAGTGTCCAGCTGCACTGAAAGGACGCAGCACAGCTGGAGCTCTGTGTGTTCAACCTCTGAGGTCTTCAGGTGAACCAGCCTGGTCGGCTGCAGAGTTTCTGACCTTTAAAGACAAACATCAGAGGTCTTTGTGATCAGATCAGGCTCTGTGTTTCCTTCCTTCATTTCCCATTTTCTAATGAGTGACTGGTGTTGAGATTCAAGCTGAAATCCAAACTTCTGCTCAATAAGAAATGTTCAAGTCTTCTCTTCAGCAGCTTCTAGGATCTCTTCTTCTGACTCTTTGTGTCCAGCTGATGGTTTCCACATGCTGAGGCTCTCTTCATCAAGGCCTCTACACCGGTGTGTGAGCAGGAGTCACTCTTTAAAACAAAACACAACTGAATATCACAAGTTTAAGAAACTTCGAAGCAGAGACAGAACAACAGAAACAATCATATTTGATGAAAGTGCTCTGATAGAGACTGACCTCTGTCTAAGTCAGTATCCACCTGCTCCACCCAGGATCAGCAGGAGGAAGAAACTCACTGCTGCAGCAGCAGAGATCAGTCCTCCTCCGCCTAAAAATAAGAACATCCCACACAGGAGACGTTACTGAAGGAGAACTCAAAGTCTTTGCACTTTTATTCTGAAGTTGTTCCATG